ATACAAATGCCTTGTTTGTTCAAACCCTTATAGTCTTATAAATGTAAAACAGTGCAGTTTTAAACAAACAGCTGAAATATTACGTTGAAGGCGCACAGAAGCAGAGCGAGCGAGCTGCTGGAATGTCTCGCTCGTTTCAGTTCTTAACACCCGCCCCTTCGGAGCGCGCATGCGCACAACCAGCGCATCTTTCACCTTTACGAAAAAGTAGCGAGCTGCGAAACATGGCTTGTATTTTCCGACCAACAGAAGCTAAACTATCAAATGATGCACTCCGTCACGCGATGCTCAAAAGCAGCTTTTGCGTACACCTCCAATAACAGTTCAACTAAACAGTCCGAGTGCTTTAAGAACATTATAGTTGTGTGTGTATCCGTCACTTAGATGTGAGTTGTGAGAAGCATACAGAGAAACGGATAAGTGATTGAGAATCAGCCTCCACAAACCGCCATGTTGTGGATTGTGGCTCATATCCACAGACACACTTGCCGAAGTTGTTAAACACACTCGCGGTGGCTGAAAACATTCAAACACACACAATCAACCTGTAGCATTTAAATATGGCAGTGGGACGAATAATCGTAGAGTGAAAATCCTACTGCAGCACTAATCTGGTTTGAATTCAAAGGTGTTACACATGTAGCGATGGTGAAATAACAGAAGTAACGTTGCAATCACATGCCCAAAGTTCAGCCTGAGAGAGTTTTACATGACCATCGGTATACTTTAGAAATTAGTCTATATCAGCTCGCCCCCTTTCTGTTCGGATTTCTTTCCTTTCGCATGTAGATCCATATTTAAGCAAGTGCATATAGCAGCTAGCCGAAGCTTTCGTTAGTCTCTTTCCTTTGCAAGACAGAGGGGGCAGTAATGATGATGCCCTCTTCCCTACATATAGCATTTCTGAAGACCCCGTGTTTTACGGGCCTTCGCAAAATTTCCCTCAAATGCAATTTGTCAATATTTACCAGTTATGGCTGTGAACTGTTGTATTAACCCATTAACCCCCGGGGCTGATGCGTCTCCGAGAGTCGCCATCTTGCCGCCACTGACAACAACACGACTGCGCGCATGCACGACATCGACCAATAGGATCTCTTTCTACGTCTGCCTCCGCGCGTCAACACCCTGGAACTCTGGGTAATGTAGTTCACTGGTAGCGTCGTGGACGAGGTGCCGGTGTGTGCTGAAGAAACGCCTTAGGTTAGTACAATTACAATTAGTTACGTGCCTACCTTTAGTACAACTTTATTTTAGCAAGGATATTTTGATTTGTAATTAATTTTTGGTCAAAATACGGGTACTTGTGATAAATACTGTAAACCAGTGGTTCCCAAACAAGGGGGGCGCGGCAAGGCTGAGGGATAGTGTACAGTCAGCAGATTATTTTGCAAAAGAAACCTCTGCAGGGTGATAAAGACTACACTGAGTACTTTTCCCACTTATCATGTGGCCACTTGCCTGATAAGTAAATAATTGAATGCAAAGTGTTAATTTGAAATATAATAATTACCTTAACATGACTCGCATTACCCGCCGTTATCAGTTGTAGCAGTTGTGGTTGTATCAATAACAGACCAGTAGATGGCGCGATTGAAGAATCAGAGTTGTATTGCAGGGAGCCATGTAGAAATATAAATGAACGACACATGGTTCTGCTCTAAGTATGTAAGTTACAAGTTTGTGAAAGGACTTCCAGTGCCAGGTAAATGTAAAGCAGATTATATAGCCTACTTAAGATTCACAAATACCAAAACAATGTGTCTAAGTTACACCAGAGGCGACAAAAGCAAATAGAACCCATGTTCTCTGCTGTGGATGCGGGGCGACGCAACAAAAGAAATTAGAATAAAAAAGAAATTATTTCTGACGAACTCCAGCGCTCTGACACAAAGGACAATTTCAAATATTCATAATAGAATCGTGGAAAAAATAGTTTCCTCAAAAATATTAACTGTTTTCAGCATTAAAATAATCAGAAATGGTTACCAGCAAATCAGCATATTAAAATGATTTCTAAAGGATTGTGTGACACTGAAGACTGGAGTTATGATGTTGAAAATTCAGCTTTCATCATAGGAATACAGTAGCCTATATGTTAAAACATTCAAAAAGATATTTTAAATTGACAATATTACAGTGTTTACTGTATTTTTGATAAACAAATGTAGCCTTAGTGAGCATAAGAGACTTTCCAAAAAAAAAAAAATTCTCTACAAAAGGGGAGCCCAAAGTTTGGGAACCACTTCTGTAAGCAATGGTGCTAATACCACCGTTTCCATCAAGAGAGACAGTTTTGTGACACCCCGTCACAAATCCAGACTTTTCTAAAACAGCGTCAGTTTCAAGAAGACATGATGTTTTGAAAATAATAAGACTATAATTATTAAAATGTGGATTATGTAAATATGAAAGTAATAATCATAACACCAGTCTAATAAAGTGTGACACAAGAAATTGTCAGAAATTTTGCAAAATGTATCAAATGAATTCTTATTACATTAATAAGAAAGAATGAACGCACCTTTCAGATCAATCAGCAAAATGAAAGTAATCCAAACTAATTCCCCTTTCATCCACTGTTCTAACACCGCAGACATAAATCTGTTCTTAAAATATAATAAAATATGTTTTTGTTTTTTAAATATTATGTTAAAAATGTTATATTGTTGCAGTTAGATCTCAGGATACCTCTTTGGATGGATGGTAGGATTTTGTTACACATGAAATCTCTTAAATTCAATATGTATTTTTAACAGTTCGCAAATTGTTTCACGTTAAGAATACAAATATGCAAACATTTTATGATTTATTGATGGTTTATTTCAACTGTTGCAAAGTAGAGGGACACTAAATACCACTTGAAGTCTTTGCTAGTTACTCTGTTGCATAATTCATAAATGATTAGACTACTAATCTAATGTAAATTTTGCATAGGCGACTAAAATGATTTAATATGTAATACAAACCCAATTCATGGTAATATAGGCTAGAAATAGTAAATAGTAGCCTATATATATACTGTATATGTAAAGTACTGTATATTGTGCTGTAATCATATTGGTATACTGAAAGAATTGCTGTTATATACCATCATGATTTAATGACAAATATATGTTTTATATTTACAGTCGTGGTCAGAATTATTGGCACCCTCTGTAAATATGATCAAAGAAGGCTGTGAAAATAAATCTGCATTGTTAATCATTTTGATCTTTTATTTTTTTTTATCACAAATATCTAACCTTTCATTGGACTAAAACTATTTAAAATGGGGGAAATATCATTATGGAATAAATGTTTTTCTCAAATACACGTTGGACACAATTATTGGCACCCCTAGACATTCTTATGAGTAAAATATCTGTGAAGTATATTCCCATTCATATTCACAATTTTGAGCATACCAGGGTGATTATGAACATGAAAATATCCAGCCATGGCTTCCTGTTCCACAGGAATATAAATAGGAGGGAAAACAAAGGACAAATTCCAAATTAATCATCCATCACAATGAGAAAAACCAAATCATATATTTCTGATGTGCAGCAAAAGATAATTGAGCTTCACACATTAGAATGTGACTTTAAGAAAAGAGCTAGAGCAGTGAAAATTCCCATTTCCACCATCAGGGCAATAATTAAGAATTTCCAATCAACAGAAAATGTTACAAATCTGCCTGGAAGAGGACGTGTGTCCTAATGCACGGTGAGGAGGAGAGTGTGATGGGCTAAAGACTCTCCAAGGACCACAGCTGGAGAATTGCAGAAAATAGTTGAGTCTCAGGGTCAGAAAACTGTTAAAAAAAAAAATCAAACACCACCTACATCACATGTTGTTTGGGAGGGTTTCAAGACAAAAAATCAAGAAAAGAAAATGCTCTCATCCAAAAACAATGCCCAGCATATTCTGTTGTCAGACACGACTGGAACTTCAAATGGGACTGGCTTCTATGATCAGATGTAACTAAAAAATGAGCTTTTTAGCAGCAAACGCTCAAGATGGGTTTGGTGAACACAGGGATAAAAAGTACCCCATGTGTACAATGAAATATACTGCTGTATTTTTAATGTTGTGGGCCTATATTTCTGCTGGAGGTCCTAGACATCTTGTTTAGACACATGGGATCATTGATTCTATCAAATACCAACAGATAGAAAATCAAAAAGTGACTGACTCTGTTAGAAATCTTATAATGGGCCATGTTTGGATCTTCCAACCGGACAATAATCCAAAAACAAACCTTAAAAACAACACAAAAATGGGTCACTGGGCACAAAACCAAGCTTCTGCTATGGTCATTCCAGTTCCCTGACCTGAACCCTATAGAAAATTAATGTGATGAACTGAAGAGGAGAAGCACCATCATGGAGCTGGGAATCTGAAGGGTCTGGAGAGATTCTGGATGAAGGAATGGTCTCTGATCTCTTGTCAGGTGCTCTCTAACCTCATCAGGCATTATAGGAGAAAACTCAGAGCTGTTATTATGCAAATGGAGGTTTCAAAAAGCATTGAATAAAAGTGTGTTGTTAATTGTGTCCAAAGTTTATTAGAGAAAAACATTTATTTCATAATGATAGTTCCCCCCATTTTAAATTCTTATTCTCCAATGAAAGGTTAGATTTATGTGAATTTTTTAGCTAAAAGTTCAAAATGATTAACAATGCAGATTTATTTTCACAGCCTTCTTTGATATTTACCAAGGGTGCCAATAATTCTGACCACGACTGTAAATATAAAACATATATTTGTCATTAAATCATGATGGTATATAACAGCAATTCTTTCAGTATACCAATATGATTACAGCACAATATACAGTACTTTACATATACAGTATATATATAGGCTACTATTTACTATTTCTAGCCTATATTACCATGAATTGGGTTTGTATTACATATTAAATCATTTTAGTCGCCTATGCAAAATTTACATTAGATTAGTAGTCTAATCATTTATGAATTATGCAACAGAGTAACTAGCAAAGACTTCACAAAAAACAAACTCTAATTACAGAAAAATACTAATTACCTAAAATGACTTGATTGGCATAACCTTAGTTTTAAAGTGGAATGAATCCCTTTTAATATATTCAGTATTTCTAAAGAATGAACAATATGAGTCATGTCACATTTCAACCAGCCAAAATGTTAACATACTGATACAACCAGAAACAGAACTGATATGCGAATTGAATTCATAAGAGCACAACACTCAAAGAAATAGTCCCTGATCACATTAAAGAATAAGAATTTCCTCATAGCCATCTTCAGTCTCTGAATGCAATGTGAACTCTGACCTTTTTACCACCTCGTATAGTAAATAAGACCTCAATGCCTGATGTAAATCATACATGGCGGAAATGTCTGATTTTAAAATTACCTACATGGATGGAGGGAGCAAGAAGGGATAACTACGATGCTATGTTTTCCTTACCAAAATGCTAAGGGCAGTAAGATTTAGCGCTGATATAATTTCGAGAGCAACAGGCATTGGCTCCTTTGAGTTCAGACTAATCATGTCCTAAACTGAAAATAAATTAACAAGCAATTCACACTACAGCATAAGTCAGAGCATAGGTATACAGTCTCTGTGTGAGTTAAAGGTGCCAACACATGGAATGGCAACACTGGGAGTGTGAGATTCTTCTTTTTTGTTGTTAAAAAGTAAATAAAAGAGATAAATAGGGCAGACACCAGACGGTGTCTATGAGGGAAATATGGTAGTGGTGTGTTTATAATATGCTGTGGATGGTTTGGGTGAGGGAGGGCACAATGAGGTGGATGATCAGAAACGGATGAAGGTGGCATCAATCTGCCTGACATTGGGAAGAGCCAACATGATCTTGCGTCTGTACTGAGGGTCCTTCTGCAGAGGGTTTCTCTCCAGATAGACAGTCTCTAGACCTTTGGCGTTCTTGAGTTCGTCCAAGTCTGCCCAGTTATCAATTTGGTTGTCGTTCATCTGTATAAGGAACACAAAAAAGAAAAAGAAGGGGAAAAAAACAACACACATTAGCTCAATTTTTTTAGATGTTATTAAAGTAAAATATAAGCATTCTAAATTGATACTCTGAAGTACAATTTTTACATACACTACCATTCAAAAGTTTGGGGTTGGTAAGATTTCTTTTTCTTTTTTTAAAGAAATAATACTTTTATTCAGCAAAGATGCATTAAACTGATCAAAAGTGACCGTAAAAAATACATTTATACTAATATTACAAAAGATTTCTGTTTCTAATAAATATATATATATTTTTTTACTTTTTATTCATCAAAGAATCATTTAACCGTTTCCACAAAAATATTAAGCAGCACAACTGCTTTCAGCACTCAATCATCATTCAAAATAAACTCAAGCCATGCATTTCTAATGATCAGATCTTTAGGAAGGCTATGCAAAGTTTTGGAAGTGCATTTTCTTTATATCCACTGACAGAACAATGTCCGAATTTGACAGTCTTACTTGACATCTTTATCCAACAGCAGTATCGCTCTCTTGTGATTGATGGTCAGACATGAGTTTTTCAGATCACACCTCCTTGATTTTATATGACGATGATGCATTTTAAGAGGCGTGTCGAGATGAATAGTGATGTCACATTTCTCCCGATTTCAAATCCGAACTTCAGAAGGGTAGAAAATAATTATTCATATAATTAAAACTGCTGATTTCTCAAACTTGCAGTACGTTTTAATTTTGTAGAGTAACCTCTTATACGTGTAAATATTAAGAACATTTTGATTCTCCACTTAATGACTCCTTTAAAATAGAAAACAGTTATTTAAAATAGTAATAATATTTCATAATATTACTGTTTTTAACTATTTTTGATCAAATGAATGCAGCCTTGGTGAGCATAAGAGACTTGTAAGATCATTAAAAAAAATCTTACAGACCCCAAACTTTTGAATGGCTTTTCAAATGTACATGTAGTGTGCCATAAAACATACAGTAAACCTATCTTTTTTTTTTCTTACCCAAAATTCTTTTATTTCAGTCAAATGGCTGATATTTTCAATCTTTTTTATCCTGTTTGCAGCGATATCCAAAGTTGTCAGCTTCTTCTAAAAAAAGAAAAGGAAAGAAAAATGAAAGCTATGTATATTCTAGCACTAAAATACTCTGGGGCAGATAAAAATAAAACCACTGATGTGTCGGCAGATCAGAACACACAGAAATCCCCTGTGGAGTAAAGGTGCAGTCGGAGAACTTCAGAATAGCTGGAGAAATGCGAATATTAAGCACAAAACTACTAGACACTAGACCGTTTCTAGTTTTGACAGCTTCTTAACATGCATTTTATGGTGGTTTCTTTATCTTGCAATTTGCTTGCAAAACATGATTGTAAACCAATGCTAAGCCACAAATATTTTGTGCAAACATCTTGTGCATAAATGTAGAATTGACAGGAAAAAGTATCGCATCTGTGGGCAACCATGGTAGATCTTACATTGTTCTCCAGGCCCTCAATGACTTCAATGCCATTATGACTCAAGTAAAGCTCTCGCAGACTGACAAGATTCTGGAGTCCCTCCAACTTCGTGATGCGGTTACTCTGTTAGACAGGAACAGGTGTTAACACCAACAAAGTAAGTAAAAAAAAAAAAAAATAAATAAAAATAAAAAAAAAAACCTTTCTAGCACAAACGCGCACCTGGATACTGAGAACCGTCAGACTGTGCAATCCATCAAGGTTCTGTAGCCGAGAGATTTTATTCGTGCCGAGGAACAAACTCTCCAAAGAAGTAAGAGAATCCAGATTCTCAATAACCTAAAATTTACATAACAACAAGCATTTACATACATAAAATTCAAGCCAGGAAACACAGAGCAAAGAAGAATATGTAACACAAAGAGCAGATTTGGATGTCTCACCCTGATGCGGTTAGAGCCCAGCTCCAGCATCTGGAGGCTCGTCAGTTGATCGAGGTTGGCAATGCTCATAATCTTATTATGAAGCAGGAAGAGTTTCGTGATTTTTGTGAGACACTCCAATCCCTCAATCTTCCTCAGTAAGTTGAACGATACATCTAGCTGCCTGCAAATCACAACCACAAATGAGGAAGCTGCATGTATTTGTACTTTTTCAATTATTTAAGTACAAGAGACTACATAACATTTTTAGAAACCAGTTTATACAATTCTTAGTATTCATGTTGGTTTTGTAAACCTTTTTTTTTTAATCTTTCAGGATTTTTATTTGTTTAACAAAGCTTTTTTCCCCTCATATCTGTGTCCCCAAAAAATATCACAAGGAATCTGAATACAAAAAAATCTTTCTTTATTTAAATTTTCTATTTTAAAACGTTTTGGGGGAAACCGTGACATTTCTTTTCCGGATTCTTTGATTAAAAGAAAGTTACTTTTGATAAATTGAATGCATTAGTATTAAAATGATAAAAAATAAAATAAAAATACTGACCGCAAGCTTTTGAATAGCAGTGTATAAATAACATTTTTTAAATGCATTTTTGATAAAAAAATTTTTTAAAAAAAGGGTCTGTACAAAATAAGTATCATCATGTTTGACTTACTCAAGCTCTGTTAGGGCCTGAAGATTCTCTAGTTTGCGGATCTGGTTGTCATAAAGATCGAGTTCCCTCAATGAGACAAGGCTGTCCAAGCTCTCAATGCATTTGATGAGGTTTTGCCTAAGAGAAATTGTCTGATGATAGAAACAAAGAAAATGACTCAATTTAAGATCTGTAACTGGGCAAAATTAATTTATACTCCAAATAAGCAACTCTATCCAGTTACTATACAACCCTACTACATTACCTAAAAAAACCCACCAGCATTTGATACTCTCACCTTTGCCTTCCGAAGAACCTCCAGACCCTAGCCGCCGCTCACTCTAGACTACAATGCCGGCTGTTCTGACTCACAGACGTTTTTCATATTAAAGGACTTGCCACTGATGATTCAAACGCGAGTTTTGAGCAGTGTAGAGTAGCGCTTGTTGTTTGTCATTTCTCCGATCACAAATGCAGACGTGGTTTTATGTTTACGTGGCCCGATGCAACGCAACGCGTAAAAAGACAGTATAAATCATTATAATCAGTAATTATGTCCCCAATGGATGCAACAAATTCCTCGTTTATAATGGGTTTTAATGTTTTTTGTCTCTTCGCTCCGGCTTGACAGGGCATCACAGTATGGTAAGGGACGTAACATTTACGTCACACGCTTGAGGCATTCGGCCAATCACAACGCACTGGATAGCTGGCCAATCACAGCACACCTCGCTTTTCAGACCGATGAGCTTTGTAAAAATCAACGCGTTTCAGAAAGGCGGGGCATAGAGGAGAAACAATAATGTACTGTATGTGGAAAATAATGTTTTTTTAACCTTAAACCGCATAAACATTTCATTACACCAAATAATGTTCTTTTTAGCAGCATCATATGACCCCTTTAAATGAACCCATCCCACACACACACCCTCGTCCCACAGCAGCAGCATGCTGGCAAACTGTGCTGATACAGCAACTGGAAACAAATGGAGGCGTCGAGAAAAGCTCGATTTGTCACGTCTGATAGCTCACATTCAGGTTCTCCTAGACTTTATCCATCCGAACAGGTGAGACTTTGACAGGTAACGTGAGCTGGTGGGCTACATCAGCTAACCCGCAAGCAAGGTGCGCTGGCATTGACGCCCTGTCCACTATACACACAGCTGAAAGCAGGTCTGGTATTTAAATACTCTCAAAAGAGTTACCACGAAACGGCTTTTATCACCATTTCATGCCTGCAGACTGTAAGAGTAACGTTAGCTTTAGTTTGCTGTGTGATAAGCGTAAACAATCACAACATTACAGTCTGAATGAATGGTAAGAGCACTAACTGATTAAAAATAAAAACTCATCTCGGTTACAGAGGGTGAGAGCAAAAAGAATAATCTCTGGCTTATTAGACGCTCTGTTCAAAATAAATCATTAAAAATAGACAAGTTAGCTCACCTTCCATCTCTTGAGGCTCTCCGACAGATAAAGTCGCCATTTTCCTTTAAACCCGCCCACTTCACTAGATGATTGACAACTAGATCGACCAATAGCAAACCCGACATCCGTTTCCTACGCCCATGGCCTATAAATAAATATTATATAATACATTTAACACACGACAAACCCAAACACACATAAAAAATGCTACGCGATTATAATTTTTAAGTTATTATAAATAAATCTGCTATAATTTCTTGTTCATACCAATGTATCGTCCTAGAATCCTTTACATATATAATTAATGATTCCTTATTCGGTTCAGCATTTAATTGAAAGACTTTATTCACTTTGCACTGTTATTTGATTACATTGTTCGGCAGACTCAGTTATAGGACACTTGCCCCAGCACTTTCATTAAAACATTACTTTAACAATTTTTAGACCCATGCATTTTACAATGTTTATCAGGTCATTGACCCCAGAATGAAAGCCATTGCTTTATTTACATGACAATGCATACAATTTGAACCTGAAAATGTATTAAAACAACTAATTTCACATACTGACATGAAACATGGCACAATGTTAAGAGTTCTTTGACAATCTATTAATACATTTATCTTTACAAATATTCTCTGTCGATTCTTTCTTTAAGATCCTGATAAAAGCCTAGGATATCATATAGTTTCACAGTTACTCATTTTTACTACAGTTGAATGTATGCTATTATTAGCCACTGTTGATAGTATGATGTGGCAAACTGTGACTGCTAATGTTTTGCATGCAAACAAGTATAGCAGGTTGGATGCATAAAGCAAAAAATAAATATAGTACTTCAGGTAACAAGTTTTCCATGTTTGGAGCATTCTCTTTGTATTCTGATGTACATTTGAAAAAAAAAAAACATTAATGAATGCTTGTATAAATGACCATACAGGCAATGAATGCACAGTGTGTTAACTCAGAGTATGATAGAAAAAAAAAAGCTGTAAGTTTCACTTACTCCCATCTATGTAAACAACACTAATTACATATGATCCTTTAGGGTGAGATGTTATCCTTTGGGAGATGAGTAACCATACAAAATAAAATAAATTAATTTTCTCATAAAAAAAACAACAGTACCTAATGACTAAATTATTGATTGGCAAAATCATAATAATACATCTGTCTTATTCTGAAGTAAGAGTTGTGCTGCAGCCGGTCACCTCATCATCATAATTCCACTGGATTCACAACTAGGTGACTTGGATTTACACAAACAAGCTGTAAATCTGTAAAATCCCTCGTGATTTGGCAAAACTCTAACTAACAGTTGATATGCGAGTTTCCAAGTCCAGGTTGGAAACCATACTGTTCAAGCATTTTCTCAGTGTGAGAGAGAATCGCCCTAAACCCGTTCACATGAACATGGCGTTTACAGAATCAACTTGTATTCTGGTAAATCAGGGCTGGCTGTACCAGTGCATAGAGCGCTGAAGAGCCCTCTCCCAGCTCTGCAGCACACCTCTGTATGGACTGCCCATGTCCCAATCTGCTTTACTCCTCCGGGGAAGGAAATGTTGGTCAGTGGTCAAAAGCTTCTTCAGCTCTTCTTGGTTCCTCCAGTAGCCTAAAGGACGATTTAGAATAAAATGGCCAGATTGACTCTTTAAAGCCTGACATTTGAAATACATCTATTTTTTTTTATGTTTTATTGAACCTTTAGGCAAAAATTAGGAAGGGGGAAAAAAAAGCTTGCATGGGTTTCATTGCGTATCATATTTGATGCAGCAGTATAGCAGACTACTTGCATAAAATGCATATAAATAAATACCAGTTGTCACTCAATATGTCTTAGTAACATGATAATTAAATGCTTAGTTTTATGATCAAAGCTATGTAGATTTTATTGTGGGGGACAAAATATATAATGCAATGCAATACAATGATGATGGAGAGATGTACAAATAAACATTCCTCAAAAGTCTGAAGTATCATGTTGTATCAAGAATTTTTCCTAAAAGTTATGTATGGATAATAATAAGTAAACCAGTAAGTGTTTGTCTTGAAATATTACTAACAATATGAAAGACATTCTTACAGATTTTACAGCAAAAGACATGTGCACCATGCTTTTAAAATGATACTAAAAGGCCTTGCTAAACAAGTATAACCTATCAATCAGACAACAGAAGGCGTGTAGTAGATAAGTTCTGGTCATGTTGGTTATTTAGGGGCCTTAGAAATTTGTGTACCAATTATGATACAATATAGGCTTTATAGAGTTAAGATGGATTAAGCCTAGATTAGGAAGAGTTTATTTTTTGCACTCTAATGTGACTTGTTCCTTACCTGTTCCTAGTCCTGCAACAAAAGCAGCTCCAAGGCAGGACATGTCAAAGTGGCTTGGACGTTCTATCTTACGCCCCAACAGATCAGCTGTGAGTTGCATGATGAAATTATTGGTGCAAACACCTCCATCTGCCCTGTAAATGTGTAGCAATATGCAAACGTTCAGACAGGCAGGATCAAGCTATGCAAATACGACAAAATAACAGGGTGAGACCCTCACCTGATTTTAGTGATAGGAATACGGGTTTCTCTAAGCATGACTTCAAAGAGCTGCTTGTTCCTGAAAATCAGAATTAGAACATGGAAAACCATATTAAACCGCTAACTTGTTTAAAAACAAAAAAAAACTTGTATTTTCTCATGAGATGGGGTTGGAAAAGTCAATATATTTTTTGCATTATAATGTACAATATGAAAAATGGATATTCATTTTGAGATTTGCTGAAGATTACATTTACCAATGTTCTAAAAACAATAATCTAAGTGAGACAACAACCCAAAAATCGATCGATATAAAACAAAGAAAAAGAAAAAAGAAATCCAGGATAACCTATGTATCGTGCATCTCTAGTTATGACATACATTTAAAGTTCAAACATAAAGGAACAGAAAAAATTCCACATATGTGTGTGTGTGTGTGTGTGTGTATATGTATAGGGTCCAATCTCAAATTTAGTGGATGTCTGTTTCCATTACAAGAGTAGATATTAAAAAGTATGATGAGCAAAGATACCATATCTGAGGAGTGCCGTAGGAACAAAAGGACACAAGAAAAAACTATGCTGCGCTATTGAATTCAGCCTTTATTTCTCTGATGGGGAAAACTGTTGAAAGAGCAAGCAAGTTGAAATGGATCTTTATTAATATGTGAGACCTGATGAACTACTCTAGATCGGTATAGAACACCAAGGGATAGTGGCTTGTATCCAGTCACCTTCTCATTTCTGTTTTCTGATTGTCCCGTGGCAGAACCAAGGCAGATGATAATCAAAGAACTCATTTTTACATTAATAACAATATGTGAGAAAGAGATGGAGAAAGCAAAGCAAAGCATCATCATGGGTCTCAAAATGTGCCAATGTGTTTTATATCTCATGTGATATTTTCATCCCTGCGAACACTGTTTGAGATGAAGGGGCCTAAGAATTTGCAAGTTGTCAGGGAATAAACTTGGTCTTTTCTATAAATTTCATAGTGTGACCATTGCCTGCAGTAAAAAAGAGAAAAAACCTGTAGTGATGGTTTAGCATTAGTTGTGCATTAATTGTGGAGAATTCCTTTTTTAGTTTATCAATAAATCTTAATAAATAAAGAGTGTTAAACACTAAGCTAAATTCTACAAACAGGACTGGATATGCCAAAGTCTATATTCAAGTTAAGAAATGTGTGTAGGCTTGTAAATGCACATTGTCCTGCAGCGTTCTGATGCTTAAATATTTTCATTTCCACCAGTGTTAATCATTTATTTAGGTTATCTTGCGTTTTATCAGAACAAGAACAATAACAGATGATTTGAAGCAATCCAGGACTATGTATATGAGAACTGCTTGATTAATTTGGCTTGCACAGTCTTTTAAAGTCACAAATTCACTTTTGTTTTTATTAGGGGCTGAGATTTGCCCATTTTTCCCAAAGCCCTGGTTAATTTTTCATTCTGACACAAACAGTCCCTTCTGACGTTTTATAGCTTTAACAGATCACATTCTTTGACTGATGAGAGATCTTCGTGTTAATCATTTATTTAGGTTATCTTGCGTTTTATCAGAACAAGAACAATAACAGATGATTTGAAGCAATCCAGGACTATGTATATGAGAACTGCTTGATTAATTTGACTTGCACAGTCTTTTAAAGTCACAAATTCACTTTTGTTTTTATTAGGGGCTGAGATTTGCCCATTTTTCCCAAAGCCCTGGTTAATTTTTCATTCTGACACAAACAGTCCCTTCTGACGTTTTATAGCTTTAACAGATCACATTCTTTGACTGATGAGAGATCTTATGTTGATACAGTCAGATCTTTCGAGCTCACCTGAACGCTATAGACTCCAGAATGGCTCGGACTAGATGTCTCTTGGTTGTGGATGGTTTTAAGCCCATGAAAGAGGCACAAGCTTTAGGATCATTCAGAGGGGCCTGTAGCACATAAAGAGAGAACGTCTTGAAATTACATGACACCGTTTAAAAATCTCTCGTATTTACAACAAATCCTTGAGATGAACAGCGACTTAAAAACAGTATCACGGATGCACACAAACACACCTGTAAGCCGCTGAAAGAAGGCACAAAATACACGCCGTCTGAGTCGTCCACACTAGTGGTAAATACGAGAGATTTTTAAACAGTGTCATGTAATTTCAACAAATCCTTGAGATGAACAGCGACTTAAAAACAGTATCACGGATGCACACAAACACACAAACACACCTGTAAGCCGCTGAAAGAAGGCACAAAATACACGCCGTCTGAGTCGTCCACACTAGTGGCTATAGCCTCAGTCTCCGTCACATCAGAAAAGAGCTCTGTAAGACAGGCACCAAAGAAATTATGCTACAATAACAGAATTATTTTTCATTAATTTAATCAATCCAAGTTAAAAAAAAATTCTCATAACGGAGTGGAACATGCATCTACTATCTGGAATGTTTTTTTTGTTTTTATGTAGTGAAAAATACATATTCAAGTTAAGAAATGTGTGTAGGCTTGTAAATGTACATTAGTCCTCCTCCTCACCTAAATCCTGGGCCCATTTAATGGCAGCACCTGTTCCAGCGGCATTACCTTCAGCCAGATACACAACATCAGCACCGATCTTCCAGCCCACCAGTGGATAAAGGCCTATTCAGAAAACAGATGATACGGAACGCCATGAAAAAGAGAGATATAAAGAGGGACCAACAAATGGACGCATTACTATCTCGCCACACTAATTCATGATGAGTCATGAGCCGCATCGTGCCCTAACCTGCTGTTTCCAGTGATGTACACTACCGTTCAAAGGTTTGAGGTTGGAAAGTGATTTTTAATGTTTATGAGAGAAGTCTCTTATGTTCACCGAGGCTGCATTTATTTGATCAAAAATATAGTAAAAGCAGTAATATTGTGAAACCTTATGACAATTTAAATGAAGCGTTTTCTATTTTAATATATTTAAAAAAGTAATTTATTCCTGTGATAACAAAGCGATCCTGGGCCCATTTAATGGCAGCACCTGTTCCAGCGGCATTACCTTCAGCCAGATACACAACATCAGCACCGATCTTCCAGCCCACCAGTGGATAAAGGCCTATTCAGAAAACAGATGATACGGAAGATATAAAGAGGGACCAACAAATGGACGCATTACTATCTCGCCACACTAATTCATGATGAGTCATGAGCCGCATCGTGCCCTAACCTGCTGTTTCCAGTGATGTACACTACCGTTCAAAGGTTTGAGGTTGGAAAGTGATTTTTAATGTTTATGAGAGAAGTCTCTTATGTTCACCGAGGCTGCATTTATTTGATCAAAAATATAGTAAAAGCAGTAATATTGTGAAACCTTATGACAATTTAAATGAAGCGTTTTCTATTTTAATATATTTAAAAAAGTAATTTATTCCTGTGATAACAAAGCTGAATTTTCAGCATCATTACTCCAGTCTTCAGTAGGGCTGTCAAAATTTATTTCGAATGTTCGTCGAATTTAAAATAAAAATCCACATCCACAACATTTTTGCATTCGAATTTTAGGTGTGTGTTAAGGAGGCAGCCTTATCAGTGGCGCACGAGATGCGATGACGATATAAGTGTCATTGCATTTGAATGTTTTTGTTAACCTATCCAGTTGAAGCCACTAGATGCGGTGCTGTTGCATTGTTAATTACAAATATTGCGAGAAAAGAGAACATCAATGCGGAGATCTTGTTTACGTCAAAACTGAAACCAAGCCGTTCACACAGAACGCATATTTCGCACATTTTCTAGAGGGACATCTATTACCGTTGCACTCGCATCTCGCACAAAGGAGCCACATATTTAGAAAGCCATGTAAAACTAATGCCAGTTCAACTTTGAAAAAACATACCTCGAGACTTTATGGCGGGATTTTCCCCCATCCCACTGAAACTCGTGTTTTTAAATGAAAAATGTACTGTGAGATTTCGGTCCTTTGTATTAAACTATGCATACATACATGATGCTGTTTTGTTTATAGTTGTTTAAGCAACTTAATTATAATTGGTTTATAAACATTATTTTAAACATTATGCACTTTGAATAAACGTGCATTAGTAATATTTTGCTTGATGCGCCCTCTTGTGGCCTCAGGAGAGAAGCCAAAAGCTTTTCTTCAGCCTAACTGAAATTATGCATTTTAAATTCGAATATAATTATGAATGCTATTTTGACAGCTCTAGTCTTTAGTGTCACATGATCATTCAGAAATCATTCTAATATACTGATTTGCTGCAAAAAAATATTTGTATTATCAATGTTGAAACCAGTTGTGTTGCTTAATTTTTTGTGGAAACCATGATGCTTTGTTTCAGGATTCTTTGATAAATAAACAAAAGAACAGCATTTATTTAAAAAAGAGAAATCTTTTGTAACAATATAAGTCTTCACCATCACCTTTGATCAATTTAATGCATCATTGTTGAATAGAATATATGTATATATATATATATGCAAAAAAATATTTGTATTATCAATGTTGAAACCAGTTGTGTTGCTTAATTTTTTGTGGAAACCATGATGCTTTGTTTCAGGATTCTTTGATAAATAAACAAAAGAACAGCATTTATTTAAAAAAGAGAAATCTTTTGTAACAATATAAGTCTTCACCATCACCTTTGATCAATTTAATGCATCATTGTTGAATAGAATATATGTATATATATATATATAAAAATAAAAGAAAGATCACTTTGAATGGTAGTGTAAACTAAAAGCCACACAACTTTTGATTTCATGTGGTCTAAAATGCTGTTTAGTTGGCTTAGATTATTAGTTCGAGTGGTTTAGTAGCGTCTTTCATTTCAACTGAATTCCAGTTTAATACTGTGAAAAGCTTAATTGGTAAGATAAGATCAGCACTGGAATGTCATACCAGCTACAGACGTGTGTGGTTTGTTTCCTGTATTGATGTCCATGAAGGTCCCTGTGCCCATAGTAATTTTCACATCACCAATGTCAAAACAGCATTCTCCAAACATGGCTGCTTGTTGGTCCGCCATCTGTGAAAAAGACAGGTTGTGGCACCAAAGATAAAATCAAGCACACACACATTTTTAAAACTGCATGACAATATTTATACTCACAACAGACATGATTGGGATGGGCACCCCGAATATGGATGGATCACATGTGCCAAATTTATGACTAAATATGAGAAAAGAGAGCATTAATTGTTTAGTCAAAAGAGGACTAGATAGAATTCTGGAAATATCAGAGCAATTCAGGGTGCATGAGTACCTGGTGTTCTGCACCCTGGGGAGGATGGACAGAGGTATAGAGAGAAGTGAGCAAACAAATCCACTCCAGCACATCTGATGATCACACAAACACACTATGAGCACAGACAGAATCCTATGAACAAGCACTACTTACAGAAGCACATTCTAAGACACTGTATGGATAAAAGATACAAGAACACACAAACACGAGAAGACTTAAAAAGATAACTTTTTTTAATCCACTCAATGTTGACCCAAACCTTTATGCTTAAACTTTTTGATTCACACAAACGTTTGACATCCAAAAAATTGTTTCTCAAGAAAAATCCTGTGAAATATTTTGACATGAAAGAAACTAAATGTTTTTACTGTTTTATTTATTTTTGCATTTTACTTTTTGGTATACACAAAAGTTTGGAGTTCATTAGAAACATAAAAAAAAAGAAAAAGAAAGAAGTATCTCATGTTCACCAAGGCTGCATTTATTTGATCAAAAATACAGTAAAAACAGTAATAGTGTGAAATATTATTATTATTTAAAATAACATACCAGAATTGACCCAGAAAATTGAAGGGTTGAAAAATTAAGAGGGATGTGTGTTGTCAGGAAAGCAATTTCAGATGTAGAACAAGTTAATATATTTTTTGAAAATGAAGAAAACCATTTTTGGAATACTGTGCACCAGAAAACCAGGCATGTGCATTCATTTTGAGATGCACTTAGATTTACTTTAAATTGTTATGTGCTATGACAAAGGGGAACAAGTTTTACCCTGTTCCTCAAACAAAGCAATTGCATATTAAAGAACAGCACATTTTCCCCTTTTGTGTCCCATGTTAGAAAGAAAGCCATACAGGTTTGGAACAACATGAGGGTGAGTAAATGTTAACCTCCATTTTTTGGGTGAACTCTCTATTTAACTCTGTTATTAAATGTCTAATCTCTCAATGCACGTGTCTGTACTGAAGTCCACAATCCAAAGGTAATGATCAGATAACAGTAATTTTACAAATATAGTAATTGGACAGTTGTAACTGACCTGATAGGAATCAAATATTGCTGTTGCACTGGCATTAGAGTAATCCGTAGCATGAACCAGGCCTGCAATAAGCAAACAAACAATAAAACACCACAAATTAAAAAAGGTATGCCATGCCAAGCTCAACAACAAGGAATTTTTCCCGGTCTAACGTTCAGATTGTCTCAACCTGCCAACCATTTTTGCAGACCTGTTAAATCATATATAGTAATATATATATATATATATATATATACACACACAGGTGCATCTCAAATTATAATGTCGTGGAAAACTTTTATTTCAGTAATTCAACTCAATTGTGAAACTCGTGTATTAAAATTAAATTCACACAGACTGAAGTAGTTTAAGTCTTTGGTTCTTTGTGACAACCATACATTCATAATTACTGATTGGTTTATAATCAGCATGTGTACATTCAAAAATGTGTACCGTTCAAATGTTTGGGGATTAGTAAGACATTTTTTATTCAGCAAGGATGTATAAAATTGATCAAAAGTGTGCCAAGTTGGAAAATGTGACAATGATAAGTACTGTAAAATCATCACTGTATATATGACTGCTTATGATTATCTACTCATTACACTGGTGTGTGACATTCATTCACCTTTGTCACTTGTTGTGGGCAAATTGCTTTCTAAGAATGTTGTCAGTCAGTGATGTAAGATATCAGATCTGTGGCAAGCTTTTATTGAGCAGATCACTCTAAAGAGCCTACAGATTTAACTGGTTTTATTTCAGCAACCTCTCAAAGGAATCCAGCCAGAATATTATGCACTCAGAGATCTGATTTTCACGGGTCAAATGACTTCTATACATCAGGACAACATTTCTATTTATTTCATAATGAAATACCAACCTTTAGTCAGTTTGTACAGCAGCCAGGTGTCTATGGTCCCAAAATAACAGGAGCCGTCTTCGACTGCCTGCCGCAACTGAGGAGAGAGAAGGTTAGGTTAAATATATCAGTCCTAGAGAAGACAAATGCTGAATGTCACATTTTAACTATTCCTGGTTTACCTGAGGGATATTGTTCAAGGCCCAGACAAGACGCAGTGACACATGCTGGGTGGTAAAAACTACCAGGCTGGCTGCAAGGAACCGCTTCTGTCTGGTGAGGAAGTGCAGCATCTTCATCACTCCGTGTACCGTCTGCCATAAAACATACATGAAAATAAATATGCTTTTAAGCAAAAGTTCACCGAAAAGTGAAAACATGCTGAAAATGTGTTTAAGTCAAGTCAAGTCACCTTTATTTATAAAGTGCTGTTTACAATACAGATTGTGTCAAAGTGTCAAATGTCAAAGGTTGTGTCAGTGTGCTTTAGTCTCAAACAGGAAAATAGTTTGTCAATAATGCAAGAGGACAATAACAAACAGTCAATTTTTTAGTTAAAGTCAGTTCATTGATGATTCAGTGTGTCATCATCCAGTTCAGCTCTCTTCCAATAGTGTCTGTGCAATCAAGCCAACAATACTGCCAGAAACTAAGAGTCCCCAACTAAGCAAGTCAAAGGCGACAGTGGCAAGGAACCAAAACTTCATCGGTGACTGAAATGGAGAAAAAACCTTGGGAGGAACCAAGTTCAGTCGGGGGGCGAGTTCAGGCCAGACAAAACCAGCATGGTGTGGTTTAATTCCAGGCTGCAGCACAGGTCAGATTGTGCAGAGGAATTGTCCATTTACCCTTGAGCCATCCAAGATGTAGATGAGTTTCTCTGAACTGATTTTAATAAATGTAGCATTAAATCGCTTGCTCACTATATTTGTTTAGAAGTGATTTAGACTGTATTGCTTGTAAATGGTGGTTAAACTGGGCATATTTCTGTCCTGATTCATACGAGACGATGTTTTCACTGGAAAAAAACTATATTAATGATAGAGGACTCATATTTTAATTGGAAGCAACAGTTTTAAGTTAAAAATGTATAAATGATGCAACTTGTTTCTTACAAACACGCTGTTTGAACTCTCATTCTGACGGCACCCATTCACTGCAGAGGATCCATGGGTGGACAAATGATGTAATGCTAAATTTCTCCAAATCGGTTATGATGACCAAAAGAAAAAAAAACATCTACATGGGTACATTTTCAGCATTTTTAAAAAATTTTGGTTGAACTATTTCTTTAACTATTCACGTTTGATTAAACCAGCTTACAGTAGACATGACATGAAAAAGCCCTAAGAGGAACTTGAAGAAAAATAAAACACCAGACCACCACCTTCAAGCTTGACCTCTGCCCTCAATGATAAGATACTGAAAACATTTTCCTCTGTTCACAAATAACCAGTTCTATTTGCGACTACATACACAGGGATGTTTGCTCTGCAATACCATAGGTTGTCATTTCTCACACAATCAAAAACATCTTGTACAAACTGACAAGCTTTGTCTCTGCAATTATGGGACAAAAACCAATTAGTGTGAATGGTGCAAGCCATACAACCATTTCCTGACCACACTGGGTTTCAAACATGAAACTCAAACTTGCTACTAAGGAGGGAATTCTGCTGACTCAAACATGAGCACTTTAAGCATGTGTCACAAAGATCCTCACAGGCCAAATATTCTCATCCACATTCCCAGTCAGCACCTAAGACAAATATATCAGCAATCTGTGTTCGAGCAGTCAGAGGGGTTCTCGTTTCATTTGTATTGCTCATATTGGACTTGGAATGAAACACTTATTCATTGATGTACACAATGAATGACAAACACTACAAACTGTCACTGTAAATTGGTATTTATTAACTGTTGAATATTGTATGGGTTAGTAGAACAATTTTATGAACAAATTTTATTTGCGGTAATAAAATTACACTAAAAGTTCAGTAAGGAGTAGGGTTGTGACGGTGAGGAAATTTTCCCACCGGTTAATCGACGTGTGACAACACCGATAATACCGGTATCACCGTGGAGGCAAGGCGTTCCCTCTTTTCCACGCTTTCCTTCGCTTTTAAATAGCTTGTAAAAGCTGTGTGCGCATTTTACTTTCACTTTCAAATAGCGTCAATTCGGCGTCAATTGCTTGAATGCAACAACAAAATAAAACGTCAAACTCACTTTAGCCTATATATAAAACATAGAACTTTTATTAACAAAACAAATAAAAATACACCATGCTATAGGGCAGGCTATGCCTAATATAAAATAACAAATAACTTACATAAAGTTTAAATAGGTATACAAAACTGGAAATAGGCTAAGTAAACATGCATAATATAGAACCAAATAAATAAGAAACGTAGAACGTTTATTAGCAAAACGAGTAAGAAAGCTTGG